TCCACCTCACTGGAAGACTGGAGCTTTCGGGCATCTTCTAGAAGTTGCTGGCAGCTTTTGTTTGCAGTAGGTCCTGAATCCCAGTTGCGTTTCCTGCCTGGAGTCTGAGTAACTCCACACCTCTGTCTTTTTTTCCTTTATTACCTGTGGTCTTGGTAAATACTGTCTTCAGCGGCTTGAGGACTGAATTATTCGGGACCTTGGTGATAGCTCAACCCAGCTGGCCACTTTCACAGCTCCTTCTCGTTTTGGTGACTCCTCTCATTTGGTCACTGGTCCCATTGATTTCCCCTTCTGACTGCTTGTAAGGGTGGTTCTTGTCTGCTTATCTGCACTACCTAGCTTCTGACTCATAGAATCTTTACAACAGCTACCTCCTGCCCTCTTGGGGCCTCAGTTTACCCACTCCCTGCACAGCTGGCAGGGTGAGTAAGAATGCAGATCTGATCATGCTTTCCTTCTGTTTAAAATCCTCTAGGGCTCCCATGTGTTAAGATAGAGTGCAAGCTCCTTAGTGGGGTGGCCAAGGTCTTTCCCATCATACAGTGCTCATGAGGATGGGATTTAAAGAGACCCCATTTCTTAACCTAGCAACATTTGTGCTGTGTGTCTTTGAGGGAACTACTTAACCTTTATGAGCCTCTGTGTTATGCATACGATAAGGATTAACGTGCCTGCCTCCCTGGGTACACAGAGACGAAAGTGAAGTCACACACGTGTTTGTCTTTCTGTATACTCTGTCGGCATCTGACTCACTTGTAGGCACACAGTGAGTGGGGCCCACTGTTTCCATTCTCCTGTCCACTCTTCCTGGTAGCTTTGCACCCAATGTCTGCCCTCTGCTGCTTCCACCCCGAGGAGCTGGTCCCACCTAGGAGTGGATGCTTTCCCATCTCCGTCCCTTTATACCGTGTGCACCCCCCCCCCCATGCTCAGCCCAGCACTTTCCTGTTCGTGACTTAATTCCCCTCACTGCTTACGGTGGTTCTCGGGAGTTACACAAAGTTTCTCCTGGCTGCTGTTCCTAGATGTTTCCTAGATGGCCTTCCGAGACCCTCACTTTTCTACCTACCAATTACCTTTCAGTCAAGGGCATTTCCCTGGGCAAAGAATCTCTAGGACAGGGATCATGTCTTATTTATCTCTATATCCCTAGGACCCAGCATTGTCCCTGAACATGCTAGGCTATCGTAGACACTTGAAAAATGAACCAATTTCAAACTTGGCAATGTTTCTAAGTGGCATTCAAACTTCTGCTCAATTGTTTCTTATTTATTCACTTTTCTGCTCCTCTTGGTGGCAAGGAACTGTCAACTCAACTTGAGATGGGCAAGATGCCCAGGGCAGGGCCCATTGCAGCGTGGTCACCTGGAGAACTGCGAATGTGAAACTCATACTGCACATCACTGACTGCTTGGCTAGTCCCAGCCAAGAGGAAACCCCCGATGGGCGATGTCAAATTCTATCAAATCTCTGTCCCAATCCAATCCAGTGGCCCCAGAGGGATCCTGTGTTGGCCTGAGAGATCTCAGGGTGGGGTTGGAGGGAGATGGTGTTCATGAGGGAAGGGAGGATTGGGGTAGAAAGCACAGAAAGTTTGAGAGGGGAGGGGCCGAGGAGCAGCAGAGGATTAAGGCTTTGGATTCTGGCTTCCTGGGGCTCTCCTCACAGGAGGTATGGGGATCCTTTAGGAGTCTCTGTGTTCTCATGCAGACAGTTTGTCACAGGGGCTATTAAACCTCTGCCCCTGACTTTGATTTTGTGTTAAAAGGTCCAAGAGTCTCTGGCATGTATAGTTAGCTATCTGACCTCTTCGGCTTTGCCATCTGGCTGAGGCTTCTTGCCGGACCCCGCTCTATAGGGGCACTTGTATCATCTCCCATGTTGCTAGACATGACTGGCTTTTGCTGCTTGGGTTGCTAGCAGAAGCAGGGGGCCGATGGTGAGCCTCCCCCTATTTGCAAGGCCACAGCAGTGAGACAGCCTCTGGCCACAGTGGGAAGGCCACACTGCCTCCTGCCCTCCAATGAGTAGCGAGGGCAGCTGGTTCTTGGGGAAGAGACAGCGGGCTTCAGCCTGTGTCCTCTTGAATGCTCACTCTCTTCCGTGTCTTATAGGCTGGAGAGGGATGTGGGGGAAGAGGGGCTGAAGAGTCAGGAATTTTGTGCCTCGAGTTCTCTTTTTAGACACCTTTCTCCATGTCAGAGCTCTATTATCTTTCAATATCCTGAGAAGTGAGACAGTTCTAGCTGCTTCAAAGTACTAAGGGTCTCAAGGGAAGCCCCTGCTTTGGGGCACTGATCCTAAGAGCGGCTTTAATCCAAAGCCACTTCGTCTTCCTTCCCAACACTCTGAATATCCAGGACAGAAGCCTAAGAGTTCCCCAGTCACTTCTGAGGCCAGGTGGTTTGAGTATTTGAAGGGATCCCAGCTCTCAAGGGGATTGTCACACCTTAGACACACACCAGCTCTTCTTGCTAGGACAGTTGGATGTCTGGGCATTGGGGAGACCTTTTCTCTTGAGGTTGTTAATAAAGGACACAAGTTCTCTTCCATCCAGGGTGCCAGGCTGACATGGCTGATGTGTGGGCCTGCTGGGTCATGGTGCCTAAGCCAGCTGGTCCTAGGCAGACCATTTCTTTCAAGAAGTCTGATTTCTTCCATTCAACAGGTCCATAAACAGTGAACCAGGGAAGTGCCTGCTAGCAGGTCCATGCCTAGGTAGAAGGCCCTAAACTCTTATTGGCCTTTTGACATGGGCCTTGTTCCTATCTCGTTAACACACAAATTCCCTCTCCTTCTCCCTTAATCTCTTTAAGGGTTTGGCTCAGTGCTCTTTGGGGGAATTCACAAGACAAGGCAGAGCAGACAAGTCCTTGCAAAAATGTCTTGTTAGGCAGAGTCCTTCCCCAGACTCATTAAGATAAAACATTATATTTGACAGCAACTTCTTGAGTGGTTCCTCTTTTCTACCTATATAGCACCTGCAACTATGGTTCTGGATGTGAGCATCCAAGCACGTATCAGTACTGTGAGCTAATGGGGACTGGACTAAGAGCCTGTCCATCTGATGGATGATGGAGGAAAAAGGCCCTGCATGAGCTGGCCCTCAAGGACCCCATCTGGAGAACCTGGAGCAGCAATTTACAGAAAATCTCCAACCTCGATGGTCTGAGAAGGGTGATAGTTGCTGTGGGGTCCTCAAATCAGTACTCTTAAAACTGCTTTATTGACAAGACATCCTAGTGCAAAAGTGTCTGAGTAAGCAAAGGCAGGGGGCCTAAAAAAAGTTAGAGTTACTGATATGTGTTCATTCATTCATTCATTCATTCATTCATTCATTCATTCAACCAGTATATTAAAAGCACCTACCATGTGCTTAGCACTGGTCTGAGTACTGAGAGGAATGAAATGAAGGCATGACTCTGCCCTCTGGAGCTTGCATCTAAGACAGTGACCAAGAGCTTGTGCAGCGCAGGAAGAGATCAGGTGGCTTGGTTTTCATCTCCACTTGCGCCTTGATTTTCCTGCAGTGGATATTATTGTCTTCAAGTTCAGGAACATTTTATATGAAGACATAGGATGGGACCTTTAAAAAGATAGCCCCACTCTGCCTTAAAGAACAGAGTTCTCGGGACACAATCTTATTTTAGATGACTTGGTCCTAACTCAGCCCTTCTTTGAATGTTTCTGAACTTTTTAGTTGTTGGTTCTGTAAGTTCTAAAAGCAACGACAGTTACTTCTCACTGTGGCTGTATCTTAATGTACTATCCCAATTGATAACCAGGGACTGAGCTGGAGCTAAGAGAGATGTGCTTTTGGTTAAAGAGCATACTTAACTTTTCTCCAGCTCCAGGTTACAGAGCTTTGCTTCAGCAGTGACTGAGTACTTTGTGGATAATCATAGCCCGTCTCTCCTTACCTTCCTGTAGACATGTCTTTTCCTCCCCTCCCCCACCCATTTCTGTGTTTTATGTAATCAGAGCTGAAGGACATAACTTTAAACTAAGGTGGCCCAATACTTGACCTGTCAAGGTGACTGGTAGCATCTATATTGATGGGTCAAATAGAGCAAGGAAAGAATCTTCATAGAATCTTCTGAGAAGCCCCAGGAAAGGATTTATGGAAATGAAACTTAACTGGGTCTCAGGGACAGGGTAGAGCCCAGATGAGTTGAAAGAGGAATCACATTTTCAAGAAAAGGGTAGACTATACTCTTCCAGTGGAATCAGATGGCATCATTGTGGGATGTTCATATACATCTTTATGGAGTTGCAAAGTGATACTATACCACCATGCTGCCGGTCCATGTGAGGGTGCATCCTCTAGATTCTGGAGGGAAAAACCCCTTGCATAATTTCCCTACAGATTAAGTAGCATACCCTTTACATCAACGAAAAAGTAGTCATCTGCTCACTTTTTGTTGAACAATCTTCCTTCATAATTTGTATGTGTATCTGTCTTTTGAGACATCTATGGCCCTTGGCTTGGCCCCTTCCCTTTCTGTGAGATACTACAGTGCGTTTGCTGGCTCTGGCTGCTGCCTGGTCAGGGAAGTTGAATGGCAGAAAAGAAACCTATACCAGGGCTTTTACTCAGACAACATAAAATGAGACATATCATAGAACTTCAATGTGTACTTCACAAGTGAAGGTGGGAGGCTGGTTTCATGTACTTCCTGTACTGCCAAAGACATATCTCATTCCCCTGAAACCAAAGTCTCCCAGATACTCTAGGAAAGTTAAAAGTTGGATTTGCAATCACAAGCCACCATATAGGGGGTAGCTGCCGTGATATCTGTTAGTAATGAAACCCTTAGGGTCTTTGCCAGGTTATCCTTGGGGAATCTAGAAATTCTTGGAACAATTTCTAGAGATTCTTGCAAGCAAACAAAAATCTGCTACCTGGGGCCTTCGGACCGATTCTACTAAGTTCCGCACTCAAGTTGAATGGCAGAGAGGCAAGAAACCAGCTCACCAGATTTCTGATGGAACAATTCTTTTTCAAAGTTGAAACTTTTTTAATTGGTAAGGAAACATTGAATCTACCCATCCCTCCATCCAACAACTATTTATTGAGAACATATCGTGTCTTTTGGCTCAAGAGGAGGGGTTTAAACAAAAGTGACAATTTCACCTTTCCACCCAAAATACCGAGGACGAACAGTCTATCCTTTGAAACCATGAACAGGGGCCAGAGAGCGGGGACTATCTTTGATGCATTGAAACTGGGAGAAATCTCTGGAACATGGAAAGTCGATGGAGTGAGTTTTCTGAAGGAAGCATTACTGTGGATACTGCTGCAGAAGCGGCCTGTGAAAAATGTGCCTGGGCTCCTACGTAACAGATGTGGGCTGGAAGGGTGTGTAAAGGTCACAACGGGGTGAGAGGCTGTGGCTGCCCGGATGACCAGACAGTCAAGGTGATTGTGCCATAACCGCATTTTACCTGGACTTCTCAGACGTTTGTGATGCAGAGTCCAAGTGGAGCTCTTCAGTCTACACAAATCAGGAGACAGACACCTCTGCTGCCTCACTCTACCAATGACAGATACCTTCCCTGTGTTGGACAGAAGGAAGCGAAACCTGCTCAGAGTACATACAGCAATTTTCTCCTAGTTGCCAGGCTCACAGAAACTTTCCCGTACACAAACGAACATTATGTTATACTGATGTCAACAGAGAGTTCACAGCAAAGGAAAGGCGATGTGTAAGCAGAATGGAACTTGGAAATTAACCTGGCCAGCAAATACACAAGGAGGCCTTGGGAACTAAATTGCTCAACATTTAAAACCAACAGACGGGTTCAGATTGCAGAGTGAACAGAACTGAAGAGAAAAGTGGTGAAGCCGGAATGGGAATCCTCTTGCACTTATGGGACCTAAAGAGATGAGATGGAGACTTGGCACGTTAAGGGCTGAGATGGGAAGTGTGTCTGGAGTTTTAGAGGATGGGGTGGGGTGAAGAAACAAAGATGGGAGCAGCAGACATGAAACAAGATAAAACCCAAGCATTGAATTGCATGACCAACTGTGATGGTCATGGGTCAGAATGCTTGAGAAAATATCCATGACCAAATGAACACATCATGGTACTAAGACAACGCGAGGGGAGGGGGTGGGACAGGAGAATTGAGAAGAGCATGCAAACAGGAAGAAGCACAATAAGCGTGAGAACACCTCTCACTGACAGTATGCATGTAAAAGAGCAACGGGACCACAAAATCTGTGGAGGTGGGAAAGACACTGGGCCTGGTGCTATGTATGTATCCATCAAAATGATCAAATGTGTGGCTGAAAAGTTATTTTGGTCATCATGGGTTCAGAGCTCATCATTTCCTGGCTTACACACACACACACACACACACACACATACACACACACACACACACACACACACACACACACACACACACACACACACCACTAAAGGTCATTATTTAAAAGCAAAGAGAAGTCAAGGAAACGCTCTGTTGCACACACCTGTGCTTTACAGACAGCAAAGGAAGCAACCCCCTGTACATTCACCAGCAGAGTGGTGGCTGAGGAGGCCTGCAGGGAGTTCTTTTAGAGGCTGATGGCTAGGCTGTTGCAGTGTTTATAAAAGGTCTCTTAGTCTCGAGTGGTCTTGCAGGTCGACTGTATGTATGAAAGTGTAGAGTAGACTTGTTTCTTTTGCACCCTGGGGCATTATGGCTACCTGGGGGAAGGAGGATTAGAGAGACAGCTCCCTGGTTAAGACGGCATACTGCTCTTGCAGAGGACCTCAGTTCAGTTCCCAGTACCCACATCAGATGGTTTACACAAGTGCCTGAAACTCCAGCTCCAGGGGATCTCATGTTCTCTTTGGCTCCCAAGAGCAAGTGCACTCACGAACACACACACACACACACACACACACACACACACACACACACACACACACGATTAAAATTAAAAAATCTGGGGGAAAATGTATGGCTGCCTATTTGGAATTGTCACCCCTTCCCTGATTAGATGTTTACTGTCCCTTCAATTCACTTGGGGGCACCTAGAAATGAGACTGGAATATTTGTCTTTCCTAAGACATAAGTTGTAGCTTGCAACAAATATATTTCAATGATTTTTCTTATTAGAAAAAGCACAGAGGCAGACTTGATTGCTAAGGACCATAGGTTCATACCCTATTGAAGAGAGAGAAGCATGGATTGGGCATCTTAAGGCACCCAGTGGCTTGGCATCCCAGGCATGGTCAGCCTGCTGGATGGAGGAGGGAGGCTAGTCATAAAGAGGCCTTGGCAGACTTGGAGGTCATTTTGGGAGGCTATAGCTTCTGGACGACCAGGGCTGATCCACAGCATGCCCCTCTGGCAGCCTTCCTGGGCGGGGCTTGGAAAGGAGGGTGGTTTAGCTGCATGTCCAGCTGCTAAGGTACCAGCAAGGGTACAGTCAGTCATCTTGGATGCTGTGGGAAGCTTATCCACAGAGCAGGATTCAGAAACAATTAAATTTTTTATTAAAATAATTCTTCACCTTCATTATTTTTGTCCTCTGCCTACTGCTGTGCTTGGGAAAGCCAAGTGGGGCTATGTTTCCTTCTTGAGTTTGTGATTCCCTGGTGGTTTCTGCAGTTCATAGCTGGTCCCGGTTCTTGCTTAACGGATTCCCATTTTATCCTTTTTCATCTCGCCATTTGCTCCTCATTGTCCCCACCTCTCCAGACCTGCGGGAGAGCAGACACTGTGCTCATGTGATTGTGTTCCAAGTTGTACCATGAACCTGGCCAACATTTTTCAGTCCTTTTATTGTAATCCTGGGAGTACACTGTGGAAGGAGGCCCTCAGAGTCATGATGTCTTGGCTCCTGGCTCCAGGCAGAATCAAATTGAAAGCAATTTCCTCAGCTAATCATTTTTGCTTTTTTGCTTTTTAAATACTCCTAAGGAAACAGTTGCTGCAGTGCCCGCCAGGAAAGCTTGCCTGCATTTCTTGCTATTAATCAAGAAATGGCATGCCTCCCCTGAAGACCCACTATGACTTAGGACAGGACCAGTATCAGGGTTTTCCTATCCATCCGAGAGCTCTGATGGCATGCACATAGTCTCCTGCCATCTTTGCCCTCTTGGTTCTTGAAGCTGTTATAGAGTGTTTTTTTTTTTTGGTTACACATTAATGTCAAATTCAGTCCTCAGATGTTTTAGCCATGCTTTATGTGCCTTATCCCCATTGCAAAGCCTCTGAACACAATTAGAAAAAACTATGGGAGGTCCATGGTAGTGGTTGAGGCTTGTAAAGTGGAGTTGGAAGATGAAGAGAGCTTTTACATAACTCTACCTACCTTTTAGGATGGATACCCAGAAGTACCAGTCTCCAAATGCATGTCCCCAACACATCCCTTCCAATGTACGTGGGTGATGGTCCAATTCCAGAGGGTGCAGCTCTTCAAGCCTGGCTTGACAGCAAGACAGATGATTTCTACTGGTATTTAATTTTTTCCCCTAAAATAAAAAAGGTTGAAGACAGGTATGGCTGGTGTTCCTGAGACCCAAATACTTGAGTCCCAGCTTCCTAAACACTGCCTCCTTCTTCCCCTTGCCTGCCTAGAGAGCTAGGAACAGTGTCTGTACTCTGAACACCAACCATACGACTGACAATAAAACCAGCAAAGATTTGAACATGACCCACACATTTGGCTTGCCCAAACACCTCTAAATGTTGAGGAAGACTTGCAACTTGAAAATATAGAGGACCTTAAGGACAGACCCAGACTGTAGCTGCCACCAGGTCCAGTTTCCCAGGTGTCTTTCTGTCTTCACTGACCCGCTATGTTGGGGTCTTCAGCAACATGCAGTACAACTGGGCCTAGAATTTGACATTCTTCTGAGTCTGTATTGTAATTTTTTTTCTTCTTATAACTTCATGCTTTTCCTGAAACTCATCCACCAGGCCACAACTCAGTTGTTGGCTAAAGAATTAGAATTATAGAACTACAATTATATATCAGTATAAAATGATTTTATGGGTTTGGGATCACCCGGGAGCACCTCTGGAACCACTCCATGGTCATGGTTGCAGCACCCTGTGTCTGATGCTTGACCCTCCACCATTAGAGATTCATTCTTTTGTGGAGGCTGGTGTCTTCATTGGATGCAGACCCGTCAACAGCAAATGGGAACAGCTCACAAATGGGAAGGATTGTTCCCCCAAGAGTCACGCAACCTTGGTGATGATGAGACAGAGGAGAAGCCATGACGGGGATGTTGGAAATTGTAATGAGGATAGTTTTGGGACTTAAGAGATGGTCCCCTTTCTGTTACAGATATTCCATAAATGCTGTCACCTGCCAAGCTGGATGTAGAACACAAAATGTAACCCAGGTACATTGGTGGGAAATACCCTGCACAAGACCTGAGCAAGCCAGAAACCCAGAGGGAAAGGACTGGGCACATGCACAAGCCGCCAGAGGAGGCCCCAGGGCTCTAGCTCCTGCATGACTGAGTCTGAGATCTGGTGAGAACCAGGCCTCCCAATCCTCAACCTGAAGCTTCTTTCTCCAAGAATTGTCCTGTATGATCACATAGTAGTTACTTTTCTCATGGCTGTGACAAAACACTTGACAAAGTCAGCTTAAGGAAGGGCTTTGAGGAGGATGTGGTCCGTCATGGGGACGAGGATGGGGCAGGAGGGAGCGTCAGGCGGCGGGTCACATCGCCTCCACGCTCGGGAGAGAGGCGTGGATGCCAGCGCTTTAGTTGGTTTCCTCCTTTGTCTTTGTCCATTCAGTCTGGGGCCCCAGCCAGTAGATGGTGATACTCACATTCAGGGTAGGACTTCTTGTAAGCCTCCCTAAAAACAGCCTCACAGACACACCCGGAGGTGGGTCTCTTGGGTGACTCCAAATGTAGTCAAGTTGACAACGTAGATGAACCATTAAAGGCGCTTTTGTGTGGGGCTGAAAGAGGAAGGAGTTTGTATTGGTATTAGAAGACAGGAGAGAGAGAGAGAGAGAGGGGAGAGAGAGGAGAGAGAGAGAGAAGCAGAAGCCACAATGTGCTCTGTCTTCTGGACATTAGGATGGCTTTGGGGCAGAAACAGGATGAAATGGGTGTTCCTGCAAGAGACTTACTGAGACTCTGAACACAGGGGTGGGTGCTGGTGGCTCACAACCCACCCACATTTCTGCACAGCATTCAGAAGCCCTGGGCACAGCCCTCCCTATTCTCATGGGGGACATTGTCAATGCAGATGGCAGCAAGGCAGCTTAAGTTTACCAGAAGATGACCCAGGGGAGCTCCAGTGAAGGCTTATTGTGAATATGCATGATGTGGGTCTCCTAGAAATCTCCGGGAGGACTTGCTGGCATCCCATCAGAAGAGGGATCTAGGGAGGACCCCAGGGCATTGCTACTGAGTGTGATATAGGCATAGTCTCCTAGTGACATCATCAGATCACTACCTGAAATACTGTACAAAAACCACCCACAGGCTCATTGGTCCACTCACTTGACATCTCACACACCCAAATGCAGGCTGTGGTTCTACAGGTGTGGCAAGATTGAGAAAGGGGAGAGGCAAGAATGGCTTCAAGGACCCACTACACAATCAAGAGAAGGAAGAGAAAAGGTTCCTCTTTGTCCTGATTGATGTGAGACTAAAGGAGAAATAAGGGAGGGGGCAAGATTTGAACTCAGAGTCTTTCAGTGGGAAACTGTGACTTGAATGGTCCAAGGCGTGGTTCATGGACCAGGTTCAGATACTGAGTTTAGTGAATCTCAGTGTAGCATAAGATAGCCTGCAAGGGCTGACATTAGATTAGTGAAGAGGGGACAGAGGAGAAGAATATGGGGCAGGAGAGGAAAAGAAGAGGGAGATGAGAGAAGAAATAAGGAAAACAACAGATCATCTTTGCATGCAATTTGTCCTGACGTCACCACCCTCAGTTCTTCCACGACCCTCTTGCCCATGTGCTGGATCCTGTCTTCCTTCCTGAGCAAGCTCCATTTTCAAGATCCACTAGCTAAGTTCTGGTGTCACGGAATGGGCATTGTATAAGCTGAACTTTTCCAGCAGTTAAAAAACAGTGTCTTCCATACCTGCAAAGATATTATGCAACCCGAGTGACACCCTTGAGAGAACTTCCTAAGCAGATGTGACAGACAGCGCTGAGGGCGGGAATATAGGTTGAGAGGTGTCAGTTGGGTGCCGTTGCGCTTGTCTATAGCCATTCCCAAGTTGACAGGTCCTCTGGCCTCGGGGGTGGCGTGTACTCTTTGCACTTGTCCCTGTACCCAAGAGTCCAAGAGCAGATTCAGCTTTGCTGATGTCCCCCCAGCTGTGTGCTGTGTGTTACCACTCTCATTTATTAGGGGTTAGAGTGAGCTTGTTTGGGGTTATGTGCTTCCTAGCAGGCCCAGACAGTAAGCTTTACTGGTCCTCTGCTCCCTTTTGCAGACAAGCATGGGGTTACTTCAGGATGTTAAGTGATGTGTCCAAGGTCACAGAGCCCAAATTTAAGACCAAAGAGGGTCTGTGACCCTCTACTGGTGGTGTCAAAGAAAACAAGGTCATGTGAAATTCAGTCGCTGAATTTGTGACCTGGTCCTTTAGCTCAAGCCTCTCAGCTTTTCTCAGCCATCTGCCCTTGACATACACAATAAGGGTTGGCATTGGAAGTTGAGGCTGCCAAGAGCATCTGGTGGGGCAGTGATTGGGCCCATACATCACAGAGTCCTATTGTGCACACCTCACACTAAGGACACCAGGTACTCTCTTCCTTTATGACACCCCGGGAGGAAGAATCTGAGCCACGAAAAACAGATCTACCCGAAAAACATCCACCCCAGGAGAAGAGAGTCCTCGACCATGGCGAGCCACAGCTGCATTCGGATCACACGGACACTGGTAAGTCTAAGAAACAGAACTGTCTTCTTCTACTGGGTGATTTTACAGGGTCCTCACACCGCTGTCACTTCCCCCATGGAATAACTTGAACCATCCATAGCCCCACTGGCTATGAGCAGGTAGAGAGCTTAGCCAGCATAATGAGCAATGTCTGTTTCCCGGCAGGTAGGCTAGCTGCAGAGTGGATTGCTTCAGGAAAGGGATGCTCCTTGGCTGCCTCACCTGCAACCAAATGGCTGCTACTGGGAATATATTTGGTGACCCTCACAGTGTATGCCAGGCCATCCATACACCTGGATGAATTTTGATGTCAAGAATCATTGATGAGTCTTTTTTTTTTTTTAAAGCAACAACTCTTGTTTTTATGTATCTGGACACTTGAAGCAGGTCAATCTGTGGATTACTTTAATTGTGCATCAACCTCCATCACCAGGAGCTGTCTTTAGGTCCAACAGCCCTTGTTGTAGATAAATTTACCAGCTTTCCCACTGAGCTCTGCTCTTGACCAGCAACAGAGAAATATACTGTGGTATTGGCTGCTTGGTTACTGTCATGGAAATGCCTTCTGTATCTGGAAAGGCCAAGGCATGGCTCACTGAGGGTTCACACCATGGTTAACAGGACTGGGCCTCCATCAGCCTCTGACCACATAGGAATTGGATTGCCTTTCTCCACTGGTTACTTTTCTCATGGTTGTAGCCAAATAACTGACAAAACAACTAAAGAGGGAGATTTGCTTTGATTTGATTTTTTGGCTTAAGCGCATCGTAGAGGGAAAGGTGCGGTGGTAGGCAGCTCTGTGGCAGTGGGAAGCTGTAGCTGAGACTCCTTACATTTAGCAGAACATGGAACCGAGACCAGATGGGAAGTGGGGCTGGTGGATAGACCTCAAGACCTGCTGTCAGTGACCCACTTCCTTCATCAAGGTTCTGCCACCTAAGGTTCCACGACTTCCTCAAACAGCGCCACCAGCTGGCGACCAAGCCTTCAGACACAGAAGCCCATGGGCACTCTTACAGTTGGGGGCAGGCGCTCTGATCTTCATTCCTCATTTGTACTACTGAGTCAGATGTGTCTGGTCAGTCTTCATGGTTACTGGGGTGTGTGACAGAGCTGTGATTGTCACAGCCTTCCCAAGATGACAAAGCAGAAATGGAAGTAGGCTTTTCTCGGGGAAATCCTGGTTCTAAGAGCAGGAAGTGCGTCATAAGGCAACTTTCCCGGATTCAGCCACAGATCTGCTCTCAGGAGGAAATGCTCTCCCTCCCTCGCACATGTGCATGTACATGTACATGTGCACTCACATACACACACCTCTGGTACTGATATCATGAGAAGGAGACCTAGGAAGGAACCCTCCCTGCCCTAAAACACCGCAACCCAGGAACTTTGAGACATGCCGTATCCTGTGAGCTTGTGTGCCTCATACTCCTCTGCTAGCCAGAGTCCGCCATTTTTCCATGGGCACAAAGATGGAGCAGTTGACTTACTGGCCTAAGCCACAACACTTTCTCCAAGGCTCCCTTGGATGCCTCCTTCCTCTTGCCATCTTCTACTCTAGGCTTCATATTTTGAAGCCTGGACTCAAGTGGATGATTTTAAATTGGGAGCTTCCCTTGTGTGACAAGTCACAGATGAGTCACACCTGATAGGGCAACCCTGAATACAGGAAACTGTGCTCCATAGGTGGAGCACAGAGGTCGGAAGTGGCTTCTCAGTGGTGAGGCTTCTGTTAGGTACACACAGTGGTAGCTGCTATTGATCTAGGCACTGCCACAGCATAGCCTGGAAGAAAAGGGACCGGAAGGTGCCTGGTTAGTCCTGGCTACCTCTCCAGACAGAAGATTGGTGGCAATTAAAAAGAGATTTACTGTTTTTCAGATCACAGAAGGTCTTGGAGACACTGAAACCGTTCCTGTTATCCAGCGTTCGGGAGCACTCCGGCCACTGGAAAGATGGTCACTGAGAAGCACCACAGGTCTCAGTGACTCTCCTGGATTTTCTTAGCACTGAAAGGCTCATGCTATGGCACACCTTTCTGACAGGACTGTGACTTCGCTGTCGTAGATCTGCCTCAAGACCCTGATCTCAATTTTAGATGCAACGGATGTTTTTGCACATGACATCAGGGCAGATGAGGGAAGGAAGGTGGAGTTTTTGTCTTACGAGGATTCAGGCTATACCTCTAGATAACAATTTGGTTAACATTTGACAATATATACTAAGACAATACTACTTTTGGGAACCCATCACATGGAAATAAAGGCTCTCATTCACAAGGTATGTGTAAAAGAACATTTACTATAAGTTTCTCAGAGTGACAGGAAACTGAGAACAACTTGAAAGTCTCTTAATAAAGGGTTGCTTTTTTTTTTAAAAAAAAAAGTGGGGTTCATCCATGCAAGATGTTTATAGTTTTACAAATTAGCTTGGCTAAACATAACCTGGAAAGATGCTTGTTTAATAAAGGAAACAATTTTCAAATGATTAAATTGCCATAGCAACAGCGTGCACTGAGCACATGCATATACACCCATGTATATACATGCACACACACAGGCACGCCCACAGGCGCACACACATGTACACACACACACCATGCACACAATATGTATATATGCACACACACATGTGTGCCCACACAATTGCATATGATATAGATGTGCAGGAGCAAAATTCAAAGGTCACACAGGAAAATGTCAACAGTGACACTGAGAGATGAAGGATTTTGTGTGTGTGAGAGTGTGTGTGTGTGTGTGTGTGTGTGTGTGTGTGTGTGTGTGAGAGAGAGAGAGAGAGAGAGAGAGAGGGAGAGGGAGGGAGAGGGAGAGGGAGAGAGAGTGCATGCATGCCTGTGAAGGCCAGAGGACAGCCTCGGGTGCTCAGGTTGTTCTTTCTCAGGAGCTGTCATGTTGAGATCTCTCACTTCTCTGCAGCTTGCCAGGTAGACTAGGATGGCTTGCCAGTGAGTCCAAATGACCTTCGAGTCTTCACATCTGCTATGCTGGGGTTGCAAGCACATAACGCCATACCTGGCTTTGTTTTTTAACATGGGTTCTGAGGATCGGACTCACATGTTCACGCTTGCAAGGCAAGCACTTTACTGATCTCTCCTCAGCCTAGTGAAGTCTTACATGAAAATGTAACAAAGATAGAAGAATGTGATCATGATGGGTAAGTAGCCCATAGAAGAAAAGCTGTGTGTTCATTCATGGTTTTATTCGGCTGTACGGGCTCACTGAGGTTCCTGGCTGCCTGAGGTCAGTTTTGCATGCAGTCTGTGTTATGATCAAGTGAAATCACAGTGCATTTGGAGAATGGAGGCAGCAACACTTCCCAGAATGGAATGTGTCCCCAGCCTCCCTGGCATGGAGACTTATGCTTTTGGTGCAGAGCATACAGCTTTCAGGGTTTCCCTGATCATCTCCACATTTGATGATTAGCCACTGATCATAGCTGTATTTAACCTGTAAGAACCAGTTCACGAGACTCCAAAAGTATCTGAGCCTATCAGAACACTGACTGTACTAGAGTTGGTCATTTGACAAAATCTTCCCAGATATGTACCACCAGGCCAGGCACTCAGCTTTAGGTTTCTTAGTCCAGAAAGCTTAACACATGCAGGACCCATAGTCATTTCTGCATGAGGGTTCTTAGGAAAAATATGCATGGTTGCCAGCTGGCATTCATGGTGATAGGGGGTGCTTGGAAGGGATTTGCTGTAAAAAGGTAAATATGAATGACTTGAAAAGGAAGAAAGACATGTACAGTTTTAGCAAGTAGAAAAAGTTAATTCTGTTGTGATAGCACTTTGGAATATTTTGGTGCCTTGAGGCTCTTCTGTGTCTCCAAAGAAGTCTGGACTTTTATCATAGACCATTGAGAAAAAATGAATCTCCGGGCCCTTCTCATCTAGAAAGAAAGATAAGTAATCAAAGTATTAGATTTTGGGGGGAGGTATATGTGGTTTGGATGTGTTCTGTGTACATGTTCATGGGGGTGCATGTATGTGGATATGCATGAATGGCTATATGTGTGTGGAGGTCTGATGTCTTCCTTGATCATTTGCCACTTTCTTTTGAGACAGGGTCTTTCAGTGGACTTAGAGGTCAGAGCGCATCAGCTGGCGCGTCTGGCTTGCCATTGAACTCCATGGGTCCTCCTGTTTCTTCCCCACTCTCTCCCCAGCACTGGGGTTATAGATGCCTGCCCATGCTCCCAGCTTTTACATAGGTTCCGGGAATCCAAACTGAGGTCTCTTTATACAACAGACACTATCCAGTAAGCCATCTCACCAGTCTCTAGAATTTTTCCTTTTTAATTTTTTTCTGTAGTGTTGGTGATTGGAGCCAGGGCCTTGGCATGCCCTCCGTCCTGAGCTGTGCTTCAGCCCAAGAGCTGTTGGACTTGAAAAGCACAAAGCACCAAAGAATGCCCTCCTATCAGTGCAGAACTATAACGAAATGCCTCCCAGATATCGAGTTACCATGCCAAGTAGTGTCCCGCATAACAAAAACCCACAATGACTTCATCAGACACTATCAGAGAAGGAAAGACGTCTTATTCTGGTCTTAGTGTCAACAAGGAGGAAAGGAAACCAAATGCCTCACAGGGCCCCATGACACTTTTGCCAGTTGTTCTTTGGAATGTGGTTTACAGAACAGTGGACCTGCGGGCAGGCAGAAGACAGCGGCCTCTGGGTGCCGCTGTGAGGAGCAAGTAGGTGGTGGAGAAATGGAGAGAAAGAGATGCAGAGCGGTTCATGTGCTGTGGAGAGAGGCGGAACTGGTCAGGCAGCAGCAGTGAGAAGCAGGCTGATATGAGTGGCCTGCGCTGCCACCTGAGGCCCTGTGAGATCTGGGCCTGTGTGGTCACTGGGGGCCATGTCTGCGTTTGTGGCCCCACTGCAGCTGGGGTCTTGTGTTGATGTCTGTGGCCCGTGTTACCACCAGAGGCCATGAGAATGCTGCCTAAAGCCCTGTTGATGTCCAAGGGCCCTGTTGATCAGGCCTCGCCCCTCACTGGCCCCCGGGAGAGTGGCCCTGCCCCTTCCCTGGAAGCAGTGGGAGAGCGGGCTCTGCCCTTTACCGGAGAACTGGCCCCAGTGGTGTGGCCTGAACATGGGAGAGCCGGCCTTGCCCCTTGCTGGTGGCAGTGTGACAGAACAGGTAGTGGTGTGGGCACGGGAGAGCTGGCCCCAATGGCATGGTCAAGGGAGAGTTGGCCCCACTCCTCGATGGCTGCCAAGGGGAGAGCTGGCCCTTGCCTGAGTTGGGTCCCAGCAGAGGCCAGGGCTAACCAATTCTGCTACCACCCAGGCCTGCATCCAGAGTTTTGAGTTGGCCCACCCCAACATCTGTGACGTGCTGGAGCAGTGAAAGGACCAGTTTTGCAGAACCATAGCTGCAGGATTTCCATGACTCTGGGCGACAGCAGGATGGGTACCTGAGATGAGTCTTGGTGAGGGTTCGGTATTGATGGTATAGCAGAAGCCAGGGGCCTTGAACCAGACCAACGACTCATTGCAAGGAACATATACAAGTAAAACTGTTTGGGAAAGGGTATACCTGGGACACACTGCTGCTCCCAACACCATGACCAACACATATGTGATGGAGAGGTGGGCAAGGCAGAGCAAAGTGGGTTTTTTTTAAATCATTTTTCTTCTGGGGGGAAGCTACAAGGATGGAGGGTGGACATGGAAAGACTGAGAAATGAGTGGGATAGGATGCATGATGTGAAATTCCCAAAGAATATAAAAAAAATTAAACACAAAGAACAATGGGCCCCTGGCCAGGGAGAAAGAACTGCAGAAGCTTTTGTGCAGGAGAACCACCCAGGTGTGGGGTTGCTTGCAAGCTTGGCCAGGTAGCGGCTGCTGCAGCCTTGGCTGGACTCCATCTGGCTCAGACAACACTCATAACACTGCTGGGTTAGCTGTCACGTGTGGTGATGGATGATGGCTGTGGCCTGATTCTGAGGCATGGATCCACTGCAGTGTGCTATGGTCCTGTGTGAGTCCTAGGCACATATGAGGAGGCGAGGATAGCACACATCAGCTTATATGCTGGAGCAGACCAGGCTTGGCACCTACATCTTCCCAAGCAGTGTGGCCTATAGGTCAGGGAAGCTGCATCCTTATTCTGGACCACTGGATTGGTGATAGTGATGAGGCAACCAAGGAAGTGTTTGATTCTGGGATCCTAGCATGGGCCCTTGGGCAAAATTATAGAGTCCCAGAATAGGATGGGTGGGAACATAGAGGCCTCCTGTGTTTACAAGTCACCTCCTGTTGTGGGATATTTTGATCACACTCTGACACTCCCGAGACCGATGAGGTTAAACCTTGAGTCAGAGGGTGGCATCAACATTCAGCTGGCTAAAATTAGAGGTTTTGGTGGACCCAGATTAGGATAGACACAGGAAGGGATAGGGAGGGGCTTAGATTCTCAGGCTTTTTCAATCTGGAAGTGTGGAGAGACAGGGTCAGTTGATAGCCCCTCCATCGCTCTTTGGATTTATCAGATTTTACCCCAATATAGGACTCCCAAGTTTTATTTACGAATAGAACAATGTAAGTAATCATTTCCTCTGGTGCTTCAACATATTCGATGTTTTTGTCATATAGTGAGTCTAACTAAACCTGGTGACAGCATCTCCAGCTCTTCAGTGGTGTCTCACAGCACTAGAGAATTTTGCCCCATGATACCCTTCCCCAAGGGGCTCCTTCCAACCCTACATGCCACCCAGGCACCAACACAGCTCCACTCCACAGTTCTCAGGAGGCATCACTGGCAGTGTCGCAGCCCACACCTGCAGGTCCAGCACCATGGAAGCAAAGACAGGGGTTGTTTTCCTAGTTCCAGCCCATCCTGGATCACACAGCAAGACCCTGTCTCAAAACCAAGGGCTGTGAATGTGGCTCAGTGGTAGAGTGCTGACGCAGAACCTGCTGGGATTGGAACCCAGCACTGGAGAAAAATACCAAAAAGGTGTGTGTGTTAGAGGCAGACCTTTCCATATGGGGACAGATCCTGTGGTTCTCTGTGTGTGGGTCCTTTCTATACCCCAGGGACTTTACACAGTTCTTGTCTCCATGTATCTGTATCCACTTGTCCTCAACATGGCTCTCTACTAGAATTAAACTCTTAAAAACTCTTGATGCCCTCATCAACTTATCACTGGAGGAGGAACCAAAGAGTTGGTGTGGTTAAAGCTCCCTCATCATACAGCTAAGGTTGGAGCCACTGTCCTGTTCTTTGAGCTCAGTTAACTTCTCCAGAGCTGTGTATGGAATAAGGCATCCGGGACTTCCACTTTGATTGCATTCTGAGGGCAATTCTTTGGGTTTTGTCTCTCTCTGTACATCTCCCCCATGTTGTTTGGTAGAGACAATACCCCAAAGAGTTAGCTTAAAGGACTACATGAAAACCTGTTCAGATATAGAGACTACAACACATGATAAACACTTTATAAAGTTTAACTCATGCTCCAAGACAAACTGTAGGAAAGGTTCACATATTTGTGTTCTTATCATCAGGTCAGCATTGTTCTGAGCACATTATGTGTGCCATTCAACACATTCTGTTCTGTTCAAGGTCGAGTGCAAGGCGAATGAGCTAATGGGTTTTCAGGACCACTTGACCACAGAACGCATCAAACACACACCATGACAAATGCTGAATGCCTTTATCATCCCATGTTTTCTCACTTGCCACTAAACTCTCTACAAAGCTTTACAAACATTCTGTTCCAAGTGTTCAAGGTGACTAAAAATTGAGAACTCAGCAGAAGTCTGGTGGGTTCTGTTGCCTTGTTAAGCCAAGTTCCGATTATTAAGAGATGCGCGGTCAGTATCATGTGGAATAATTAAACTAATTTGATAAGAGGATATGCTGATACTCATGCAAGAGACAGGAAAGGGCTGGCTCCTCAAGAATGAGGGGATGGCGAGAAAACAGTCCTTGAAAGGGCCTACTGTGCATTTTTCATACAGCGTGGGTTTTCACAACCCTAGGCAGTGAGTGTTCAGGTAATCCTTGTGTGTGTACACATGTTCATGCATGTGCACGTGCACAAGTGTGTGGGTGCAAGTGGAGGTCTGAGCCATCGCTCCACCTCCAGCATTCAGGAGTAACAAATTACTCCAAGTACCACCTTTCAGTTTGTGAATTTGTAATGAGGTGAGTGCACAGCAGGGCCAGTGTCTCTGCTTCCGGAGGGTTCAAGGGGGCGGGAGCATCAACCATGATAGGTCGCTCACTGGCTCACTAGGTTCCTCTGGCCACTGCAGAGCAACCCTCCTGGCCTAGATACCTCACTCAGTGCCCCAGGCTGGCTTTGAGCTGGAACAGAAAACTCTTGCTGTAAAAACACAGCTCTCCATGTCCCTTCCCCATTCCAACAGGAGCTGTGTCTGTACTTGGGGAGAAGCCAAGCACAGCGAAAGATTTCAACGGAGAACTGAGGAAACACCCCCACTGAGGTTCTCATAGCAACATAATCACGCACAGCAGCAGCCTATTTCGGTGGGAGCCTGCTTCAGCTCCCCTCCTCCCCTGTTAGTCACAGAATGGATGAACAAGCAGAAGGAGGGTGGGGTGGAGACAGTGTTGGGTTGGAAGTCCGGGAGGCTGGAGAGCTGGTTTCAGAGGCTCCCACAGCTCGTCAAAGGATCATAGACTAATGTCCCCTTTTCTCTGACCCAGGGGCCTTACCTGCAAGAGGCCTGGCCCAATGTGTGGGCGGGGACCTTGCTTTTCTAGTCTTATTTGATTGTACAAGTATCGAGCCTCTTTTGATCTAGCATCAGAGTATTTTTTTTTTTTTTTTTTTAAATCTGGGAGAAGGTGCTTGGAAAACAGGAGGCACCAGAGGGCAAGAGTCACTCTTTAGATGCACTTATGCCCCCGCTCCCCTATATAACTTTTGGAAGAATGGCAGGATGGTAGTGAAGAGGGACCAGGTATTGCCAAAGATCTGCTCATTTGCACCCAACTCAAATTCAGGTCTGTGGACTGAGAAGGCTGAGGTTATTCATTTGAATTTACTCTTGTTCGGAGCAGATAATAAATGTGGTTCAGTTAACCCACGCTTCTTGCTGCATTTTCTTTAATCCTTCTCATTCTTCATCGTCTCCTCTTTCCGCTTTTCACTTCGCACCCCCACTTATAGCAATGCCTCTTCTCTTTGCCGGAGGATCTGGTCTGATGGAGGATTCATCATGCTGAGCCCGGTTTGGCCCTTTTCCTCAATGGATCCGGGTTAGATGAGGACAGTCACTCTTACAATTTCAGGCCATCAAAGGTTATGATCAGAGTAAGCAGGACATTTGGATTAGATAAGTCAGACAGGGACCAAAATGAAGAGGGCAGAATGCTCCAGGGCCATCTGTGAGGTCCCTGTCCCTGACCTGTGGACTGGAAAACCTGAATGTTCAGTTGTCTTTGAGATAGCCAGCTAAAGTGTCCTGAGTCCGGCCTCCTTCCCCCATTGTTCTATCCCCCAGTGCCTGACAGATGGCCCGAAAGAGAGAAAAAAGCTCTCAAAGTGAAGACAGGAATGCATTGTATAAAAATTCACACCCCCCGCTGCCGCCCAAACTCCCTTAAAAAAGGATCCAGAGAATCCTAATGGGTACGTGACATCCTCACAGCTCTCTCCCATAAAAGGGACTTCAAGATCTGGTGATGGTGGGGGGAGGGGTCGGGAAGGGGGGGGAGGAGAAACATGTGGGCCCAGGGTAGGGGGGCTGTCAGGAAAGACAGGGATAGGGAAGCTAGACCGCAAGCCCTTTCATTGACTTGTTCCTGATCGTTTTCCCAAGCCACCTCGAGCGGCCACCTTCACCCCAACCCGGTCCTCCTGAGCGAGGTTTGAAGCCCTTTTTAGTCTTGGGCTCGGAGGGTGAAGGAAAGGCTAGATAGTGACGGCCTATTCAGTCCTAGAGTTGAAGGAGTTAAGGACTCCCCCCGCCCCCCATCCAGACACCCATCCTTTTTCACTCCTCAAACCGTAATCCACGAAGGATCCAGGAATCGCCCGGGAGGAGGGGTGGGGGGAGACGACGAAGACGGGGGGTAACGGTGGCCGAGTCTTGCCCCGAGCTTGCCCTAGCTAGGAGGACTCGCACCAGGGCTGAGAACCTCCAAGAGCCTCGCGGACGCAAGCTTCCGGGAGCCTGGCGCGCGGCCCTGCGGCGTGCGCTCAGCCCTAGCCCCCGCGCCAGGTGTGCGCCGCGCCAGGAGCGGAGCGGAGCACAGGCGGCCCCCAGACCCCGCGGTCCCGGGCAGGGGGGCGGGCTGGGGGTCCCCGCCGTCAGCGCCCCGCCACCGCTCGCTCCCGCGCACCTCCCACCCCGCCCCCACTCACCCGCTCAGCCCCCGGGAGCGCCGAGCAGGACGCGTGTTGCTTCGCCCAGCGATCGGCAGAAGTTGGGAGAGTTGGCGTCCGCCTCCCGCCTGCCGGACTTGGGAGCCGCGGCTAGAGCCGGCGAGCCCGCGGGGCCGCCTCCCTCCCGCCCAGCCCGCCGCGCAGGGGAGAGGGGCGCGGAGGGGGTCGCGAGCTCGACCAGAACTTGGAAGTGTGCGAAGGGATGCGAGGCAGATGAGGAGCGAGGAAACGTGAACAAAGTGGCGACCGCAGGAGGGACTCCACGGAGCTCGATTGTCGCGGAGGACGCTCTGGGAGAGGGGCTGGCTGGGGATTTTTTATACCCCTTCCTCTCGCATTCTTTGGCTCTCTTTTAAAGCCACACCAGCCCTCTCTCTTTCTTTACTATCTCGAATCCCCAAACCCTTGCTGGCTCTTATGGGCATGAAACACTCCTCCCGCTGCCTGCTCCTCCGGAGGAAAATGGCGGAGAACGCAGTCGAAAGCACGGAGGTAAGGAGGCGACTGGGCCGGGGCTTTAGGCGACCCTGCAGCCCACCCGGACCCCTGTGTGCCGCCGCTGGTTGCTGCCACTACCGCTGCCTTGGTGTCAAACTTTCCCCATCCCGCTTGTGTCTCTGCCGGGAGAGAGAGAGAGAGAGAGAGAGAGAGAGAGAGAGAGAGAGAGAGAGAGAGAGAGAGAGAGAGAGAGAGAGAGATTGAGAGGAGTATGGGAGGGGGCCGACGGTGCATGTCTCAGCGCCCCCCTCTTGAAAATGTAAAAGTCTCTTTCACCCCCATCACCCTCTCCTGCCACCCGCTGCTCCCTTCCTGCTCCCCCAAGTCCCAGACCCTGGTAACCCCGTTCCCTTGCCCGTGTGCACTGGATTCCGATAATGATCCCGGATTCCGGCTTTACTCAGAGCTGGGGTGAGTTATATTAGGGCCCAGGTCTGCTCCCTGCAGTGCCTCGACCATCTCCCACCGCTGCCTGGGTTTTACCCTTCAATCTCGAGGCGGTCCCCAACCTCCGGGTCCCTGCAGCACCGCGGAGAGCTCCCGGCCTCAGGGGGCCGTAACTAGGAGGCGGTACACAAGCACCTGCAACCGGACCCCCTCCAACCCACGTCGGGGCGCGACTGGAGGTCTGCAGTCCACGAGTGCTGAAGGAGACGCGGGAGCGCGCGGAACCCGGGGAGGGCACAGAGACCGCGGCCCCATTCAGCACCAGGGACAGCGCCCGTGCCTGCCGCAGCGGAGCCCGCACAGGCGGTGGGGGTTGCGCGCCCTGGGCTGCGGCGCGAAACGGGTCTGCGGCCACTTGTCCCGCAGCAGCGTTTAAGGAGGCCGCTGTAGCTCCGCAAATGATACTCTTGTCCTCCGTCTTCGGCAACCCTGACCGCAGCCCTTTAGCTGCCCTCTCTCTACTCCGGAGTTGACCCTGATCTTCAGAGAGCCCAGCAGGGCTTTGCTTTGCGTCCCTAGCAAGTCTGTTCTTATGCCTCACTCTGACCCTGCTGTCATCACAACGGGATTGTTCCTCGGCTCTGGGCACCTGTAGTCACGGAGGGAAATGGCGTGGGCAGCCCCCTTACCTTCGCGGAGGAACCGTGCGCCGAGGTGGGGGCGGAGTGGGGTGTGTGTGATCATCCCTTATTCGGTGGCAGGAAAAAGACACAGAGCAAACTCCGGGGCTCTATTAATAGCCCGGTGTCTGGTGGGGCTGCCGTACATTTCACATACGGTAACCCATATGCAGCGTGGGGCGGGGATGGGGGTGTGGCGCGGAAACTGTCCCGGCCTTTCGGAAATGCAAAAGCAATGTGAAGACCCTCCAGGCCTTGTTTCCTAGAGGTCACAACTCATCCCCACCCCACAGTGTAGGCAGCAAAGCTTAAGAATCCCCATTTCCTGGGCCCTAGAGACAGCATGCTTCTGGCAACTGTCGATTTTTGAAACAAACATGCTCTGGAGCTCGAAAGACACAGGGCATTCAGCAGCTAATGTTTTCTCCTTGAGTTAGGGCAAAGCCAGCCCGCTTGTCGTCGTTCCTTGGCCCATCCTCTTTCCCACCCCCTAGCCGGAGATCAGACCTTTGAAACCGAGTAGAGCACCAGGCGCTCAGCTTCGCAGCAGAGCCGGTCTCTCCATTCCCCTCCCCCTCCGTCCTCTGATCGCCCACCCGAGGAACAGGTTTCTAAAAATAGCTTCGAGTCTCAAGGCCGCGCTCTAGTAAAGTGTTGGGCCGCCAGCACGTAGCAGTCCCTGCCGCTCTGTAGCTGTAGCTCTTCCCCTCTGTTCCCCTACCGCACCTCATCTCTGCTTGTCTTAAAAAATAAAATAAAATTAAAATGTGAAAGTTTTCGTGGGCCCTGGTCCGCCATCACCCGGACTGCTGCATGGAGTCTGGTGCAGACCCGGGCCACATTCTGCAGAGTTGGCTGCGGCTCTCTCCCCCTCCGTGAGGGTTAAAGGCGTCCGGAGCAGGCAGAGCGACGCGCGACAGGCTATTTTTACTTGCTTCCCCCGCTGCTCCACGCTCCCCCTTCTCAGCAGTCGCACATGCCAGCTCTGCTCAAGGCATCAATGAAAACAGCAGTAGAGGCGGCGGCGACGGCGGGGGACGGGGCGAGGTGGGGGGGAGGCAGAGAGAGAGATAAAAAGAGAGAGAGAAAGAGAGACAGAGACAGAGAGAGGTGTGGGGGGAGGGAGGGAGCACAAGGCCAGCTTGGTAGGAAAAGACCCAGCTGGGGCCCCTTGGAGGGAAAATGAACCAAAGGAGAACGGAGGAGGTTCAGCTCTCTGCAACTTCCTTGGAGAAAGGATGGAGCACAGACTTGGTCAAACAAACGTGCCCAGCGAGGCATCCAGGCCTCGTGACTACTGCTTGGTTTTCCTCCAGGAACGGGCTGTTTTTGGAATAAGCTAGGAGCAAAACAGTGCTTCCAAAGTGGGGTATTGTGGGGGTGCGTTGCCTGCACGTTGTAGGGCTGGCAAGAGCAACCTTGTGGATGTGTGGAGGTCGAGGTGGCAATGGTTCCTGCCCAGTCCCTAGCAGGTACTCACTCTGTACCCGGAAAAAGTAGGTCCCCAAGACCCCAGGTGGCCTGGCTCTTGCCCTCAAAGAACTCACAGGTTAGTGGACATTCCTGCTGGAGAGTCCCGTTGCATCCTTCCAGGCCTCTTGCTGGTGTTAGCACACGCCTTGTGTTCTGTCTTCATACTAGGGCTGTGAGGGAAGCAAAGGTTAGTATTTGTTTCTCATTTTACTTGAGGCCACAGAGTAGGCTGAGGTCAGGTAGTGTCTACAGCCAGCTGGTGGGTTAAATCAGGCTTGGAACGTGGATCGCCCTCAATTTTGATTCATTGCTCTTTGCCCTACTCTTGCTATTTCTAGCAAGATGCCATGTGTGAATGGGAGTGGTGGGGAGTAGGAGGAGAGGATTACTTTGGAAGGGAAAGAGGCAATGGGGAGGGAGGCTGAGAGCATGGCAGGATGAGAGTTTTGTTTTTTTTTTTATTTTTTTTCATAAGGTAAAGACTTGGAAAGAGATGGCAGTCATCAGGTAGGTGTGGTGTGGTGAGGAATGTGGCGGGGGTGGGGGTAGGTGAGAGAATGTAACAGTATGTACTGTGACCACAGTCTCTGGGCCTGGGAGCAAGGTGAGAAGCTGGGGCATAGAGCTTTGTGGCTACAGTGGGTCCTGGGTGTACTTTCAATCACTTTGATTTTGGTTTCTTAACTTGTTAATCTGAGCTGATTCCGCGTGTGGTGTAAGAACACGACAGGGCGGTCCCTGACCTCACTTTCTGCCTTCTTCTGTGCCCGCAGTCACACTCCTCTTCCCATCAGTCTCCTGTACCCCAGTCAAGCCTTGAACTCTTGAGGGTGACCTTGAACCCCTGATTCTCCTGCTGGGATTATAGGCCTGTGACAGTGTCGGGGATCAAACTCAGGACTTTGTGAATATTAAGCAAACACTCTACCAACTGAGCTACATCTTCAGCCTGGTGCTGGGGCCTCCTGTGACATCTGCAGATCCTCCACCCCCACTCTTTGCAGCTTATCCTCAGTGCTCAAGGAAGGCCCCCTTTATTTCTATGCTAGGACCCTAGCGTCCAGCAGCTGGCCATGCCTGGTCCTGTCTCACCATCCCTGCATGCCCTGCACGGTGCTTTTGAAAGGATAAATCTGCTTTGATAGGTCAGCTCTCTCAAAACTTAGGAGCTACCCCATTCCCCACAAGGCACTGGAGTTCTTAGCACAGTGGACAAAGCCCTTTAACATCTGCCCCATGGGAACCTCCAAGATGGCTAAATTTAGGCTTGAATGCTTTTGTGTTCTTCCCTCCATCGATGACGCTTCTTCCTATTCTCCTTTCTGGGGTAAAAAAACGTCTTCCTCAACCTGCAAGACTCAAATCAAATGTTGCTTCCTCTGGGCAGCCTTCCCAGATCTCTCATTTAGCCTCTCTCCCCAGGGAGAGCAACCTATTGCTCCTTCTTGGGCATTTGTGTGGCCTGCCTCTTGCTTTTCCTATTGCAAGATAATTGTCTTTTAAACATGTCTATTTCTCCAACTGGATATGCAACTTTTTTCTACATGTCTTATTTTTGGCGCAGTATCTGCTGCACAGTAAATAATGTGTAGATAGAATTGATTTGTGTAATTATAAGACTTTCTTGAGCCTTCTGACTTTCTAAAAAATGGGGTTCTCATCTCATATTCTTCTGCTGTGCTTGAGCTAATGCAGTCTTTTAAAACTCACAATGGACAAAGATTCTGGGAATCCAGATGTTGCAACCATTCAAAGCACTCTGGCGCATTCTGGTCATTCATGGACCTATCCAATATTTGGTAATCATTGCCTCTTGCTATGGGATATTCATATAAAAGAAGATAAATGTATTAATCACAAGGGCCTCTTACAAGCCAGGGGGTTAAGGGATTCTTCTCTATTTTTCTTGCTGTACTGGTTCTTGGTGAAAACATGATGCATTATTAATGGGTTAGTGATTCCTTGATTGAGGATCCATCACCCTAAAGGAGAACACCAGGGATAGGAAAAAACAAAACAAAACAGTTTTTAGCAGTAATCATCTCAAAGAATGCTTCTTGGATGTTCTATTGACTTGCTAGTCCAGAAGGAGAATCCTCACAGACTGAGGAGGACCCTTCAGTGATGACAGAGTCTGGGTACCCATGAGCACAGCTGGAGTTACAGGGTAACGGAACTGACTTCCCGAGTGCAATGTAGACTTGTAGTGCCCTTTGGCTTCAGCTTCACTTTTAGCTGAAATGCCTGGCCCCTTCACTCCAGTGTCAGAGAACTGAGAGATAGGAGTGGGAGGATACAGGAGGCAGCTGCTTCTCTGTGGATGGTCCACCTCTAAGTCTCTATCTGAAGAATGTGGCCACCGACACCTACTCAGGCCCAGCAGTCAGTGGCTGGGTTTACGTCCAGTTCTGGGATCCCTGGATGTGTTGCTATGTTGAACCAGCCATGTCATGA